TGGTCATATTTATTGTCCCTCTGCTGGGACAACTCCGGGCTTTCTTGGCTGGTGTGTGCATGTGCACACACATTCCTTCCAGCGCCTTTCAACTATCAATTCACAAAGATTGCTTTCAATTCTGAAACTATAACATTTCAAACAAGAGCGGCTGAAATAAAATAGAACATTAAAGCAGCCTCGTGGGTTCAGGCAAGTGCACGGCAACTGGGAAAGCCAAAAGGAAGGATCTTTTTGCTTTCCCACTTGATGAAGGTTACAGTTTCCTCGTGACTTGTTTTCTTAACTTTAATATCATTTGATATTTTTCCAGTCCTGTTATAGCCAGAGCTTTAGACACTTGAAATAGCTTGTGCATCAGGAGGAGCAAAGGGCAGCTCGACCTTGTCTCCTGTCACTTCTCCGTCTGCTCAGCCGGAGCCAGCACACTGTGTTAAATCGCTGAAGTTTGGAACAAGATAAATCCAGGTGGAGGCTGGGAAAAGGGAGAGAGATAAAAAGCAAGTGTGTACTCCTGGCGATTCCCTTGAATCTCTCCACATAACTGAAGAAACGCACAAACAAGGGAAGATTTGGTCTTTTTTTTTCATGACAAACAGAAGAGAGATTGTGATCTTCCCCAGGTAATGCTGTTAATACACTGGCTAGATGAAACGGGCTTACTTCTGATCTGTAGCACTGAAGAAGCAGCTTATATTAAGACCTGAAATTGCTTCTTATTTATTCTCCCTCCTGGTCTTGTTTGTTTGTGTGATTTTACAAGGTGGCTGTGGAAGGAAAGTTCACAGTGCAGCAGAGCCGAGGAGGCAGCGGGAAGGGGCTCCTTGTGCAGACCTATAATGGGTAATAACCTTCCCAAGTGTGTCTCTCCAAGTAATTAGACAGCATTAATTACCAGTTCAGGCTTTGGACATGCTAAATGTGTACACGTGCTCATTTACATGAGCAAAACTACCACGTACATGGTAATTTTATAAAAGGGGGGAGAGAGGGAGTTTAGGTGTGATTCAGAAGAGGGAAAAATCTGTTTCTACATTTTTTCCTGTGATGATTAGTCCAGAGTTCACAGAATAGCTATGTGAGTGTATAGCCATTATACATCCTTACAGATCATATCATTGCATAATCAATACCTGGGAGTCATTTTAGCAATGTGCTTTGATCATTCCCATTTTGGAAGTCAATTTTATAATGAGAATGGCAATGAAGACAAAGCCAGTTTTATAGTAAGACTGAATGGAGACCAAGATGAACATGATCAAACTATGTTATAAAGACTTAGAGATAGTAAGTCCAATAAAAGCTTCTGGACGAGATAATCACAGGAATTCCCTGAACAAACTCCATTGTTCATCTAAAATGTTTCAGCAGGCATGAATGAGTTTAAGCAACAGCTCAAGTATAAGCCACCCAATGCCCTGTTGAGATGCCATTCTGCTTGCTGACGTGGCAAATCTCCCCACAGGGCAGTGAGGCCACCACTGAGCTCTGAGGCTCTCCATACCTCCAGCAGTCTGGATCTGGATTGGAAAATGGGGGCAAATGCTGTGGAGAGAAGATCCAACTTTTCATTTGTCATGGTTTAAGCCCAGCCAGTAACTCAGAACCACGCAGCCGCTCACTCACTCCCCTAAAGTAGCAGGAGAACTGAACAGTTCTTAATAAAACTATTAGCTGTAGACTATGGTTACTCCTTAGGGGCCAGATAGAGATCTCAATTAGAAGTTGAAATAATTTCCTGGCTCTCACAAGGCTTACTCTGTCTTACAAGTAATAAAAGCCAGAAGTTCCTCACAAAGCGTCGTGGTCACATTAACTTTTACAATTTACATCAGTCAAGGAGTTGACTCTCAGCATTATAGGGTTTGGCCAAGAGAGAAGGAATACAATTGAGTTGGGGCTCTGTTTTTGAAACCAATTTCTAACTAATAGTTTTTTCCCCTTCATTTTAATACATGATCCTCTCTTGTACCTATATCTGATTGAATGAAATATTACTGTGCTGTGTAATATCATTGCGTAGCCCCCTGGGTCATGCAGAAGGCATGTTACTGCATTTTCCACAATATGGGTACAACCTACCTTCCTGCACAGCCTGGAGGCTGAATCCCACAAGACAGGATGATGAGTGAGAGAGGACTACTCTTTAAAGCTTCTCTTTTAATAAGATATGGTAATTTTGAATTCAGCCCTGGGAAAGCAATAAATGAAGTGAGATTCATGGTGTTGTAGCTGTTTGGCACTGCAGAGGAGACACTAAAGGTGCTTACACTGATGGCAGGAAAGGGAGATGCCTCTGCTGCTGATAGAGGTGCAGTGACAGCAGATTCAGGGACAGTAAGCAGTGTTTGCGCTGGTAGTTTCTAATCTACACCATATGCACAGTGCCCCTGAGACTGGTTTGCAGCTGGGAATGAAGTGGGGACTATGATGATGGTGGGAGCAATGGGTGCAATATTCTGTGGGAAGCAGAGTGATGGAAAAGCTGAAAGCTGGGTTCTAGAAAAGATCTTCAAGCCTCTTACGGAGACCACTAACAATTTGCTCTTCCTCTAGGGAAACAGGGATATAGGGCCCAAACTGTGATGCTAAGGCGTCCTTTCCCTTAAAGCCTAATTCTCTGTTCACAATGACACACCTAAGTTAAAACTTTAGCCCAGATTGAATGAAGCAACTTGTTTTCTGGTGAACTTCTACCTGAGTCAGGACTTTTGATCCTGGAAACAAAGATTTGTGAGGAAATGTACTTCATTTTAAAGTCAATTTTAAGATTAAAACTCTCACCGTAAAGTGAAAAGTAACTTCAAACTGGAGAACGAAAAGGTTGTATTAAAATAAAAGCAGCTTTAAAAGTGATATGTCAGTATTTTTGGATTTCTTTTTTGTAAGGTAAAATACTGATGATACCAACAGAATTCTGCATAATTTTCTATCCTGATGGGATTGCAGACCTGGACACAGTTTGCTGCTGTGAAGTTTTGTCAGCTGTCTCTGTATTTTAGCTATTATATCTTTATTGAGCCCCTTGAAAATCATGCCATTCATTTTGATGCAAAAATGACAACTGTGCTGTTCTGAAATGCTGATGCTTAAAGGAGAAGGATGTTCCTCGTACCTGAGCCTGGCAGGTGTATCTGTCTTGTCTTCATGAGTCCCTATGGGTTGCTTTAGGGACCAGACTACTGTAGGAAAGACTTCTTTGTACATGACTGCCGCACTAAAACCCTGCTCTCTTTTCCCTTGTTTACAGTGCATTTGGGGTTTGTGGTGCTTTTTAATGTGAAACACCTTTAATGCTTTAAGCAGTGTTGACATGTGAGTCTTGTCACTTTATGAGGTGGAAAACAGTCACTGTCACTGACAAGTGAATAATAATAGGGATGAAAAATTAGCCATGAAGAGCAGGGCCTATGCATTACTGTGCTAACGACAAACATGGGCACATTCATACATCAGGATTAATCTCTAATAGAAAGTGGGCAATGCTCTGTTGCATTTGTCACTGCAGTAAGGGATATAGAAGCAGGGAAATCATCACCTACTGCTTTCTTAAAGCAGGTGGATTAAGAAATAGGTGAGTAGGATTTGATTGCCATGATGCAAACCTTTCATTTTAGGCTGTGTCTGGAGCAAGAAACCTCTGCAGAGGGAAAACTGGGCAGAAACCCCATATAAAGTCATCTTTTATCTATATCCTTTTGTTTCAAAGCGCAGAAGTGTGTGCATCTGAAAATCCTTATTCTGACCAGGTTGGCAGGCTGGAGATGGGGAAATGAGTGTGAGTTTCAGCTCTACTCTTTTCATTTTCTGGCCAGGTTAAGGATAATTATTTATGAATCTGACCCAACTTTAACAAATGCTTTTGGGCAAAAGGGAGAGAGGGAGAACAAAATAACCCCAAGGATAAAAAAATACATAAGAATTGTAAAAGTTGGTTTCTACACTGATAAAGTGAATACTTTGCCTTGGCTGAAATGATGTTTTCCTTTGATATTGACCTAAATTTTAACTTTTCAGAAGGTTTAAAGGGATACAGGAACCTCCAACCTGGACCGCTGCATTTTGGTATAAGCCCAGGGTACTCTGTGATCTATCAGGTTGTTCTCAACGCTTGTCTCATTCCATCTAGAAGGTAAGCAACACTTTGAGTAACAACTTAATCATGAATTTGTTTCAAAGGTTTCTTCTTAGGACAGGAACAGGAGGAGGCCAAAGGCCAGGATTTGTCTTCCTTGGGAACACTGTGCTATGCAGAATTATCAAGCTTCTGTGTGCTAGGGGGTGAAGAGTTTAGTGCAGGTCCCAGTTAGCACAACTCAATCTCTTGGATCAGAAGAATGGCTTCAATAGTAAAAATCATCAAAATCCTCTTACCCCTGAATTTGACATCGTTAGTGATTTTCTGGTGAGTAATAACAAGAAACAAAAGAAGAGAGAGGAAGAGCATTAATGTGAACTGGTGCAGGTTTCCCATTAGCTACAGCTAATCAAACAGACAGAGCCCTTAAAGGTAATTATTGGAGCCAGCTGGAAATGTTTGCTGGAAATTGCATTCTGAGTAAAACCCGAGGTTCTTGCTGTATTTTTTGGTTTTGGGGAAAAAATAAAAGTGCCTTAGTTTCAATCAGTCTTTGCCAGCATCAGCACAACTGCAGAGCTCCAGACCAAAAAGCACAAATAAGCAGTTTCATCTGGAAGGATGGTGGTATCTGACTAACAGCTCTGTAAAACCTGCCTGATTCCCTTGACAGACAATGTAAAGTGAAGATACACTCAGAGGGGAGGGAGAACTGGCTGAAGAGGGGGACCCTGAGGACCCCCAGATGAAAGCAGTTCCTTGGGTAGATGGGGCAACGATTCATGCTTCAGCCCCAGAAGGCGGCTGCCCCACCAAAGGCTCCTGATATATTTGCTGTCAGACAAATGCTCTTTCGTTGCTGCATGTGATTTAAATTAATCACTTTTCTCACATGTCCTGAGGCAAGCCTGTTTGCAACATAGGAATGGAGCTTTAAATCAGGAGCTACCTGTGATAACTGACAGCCTTCACTCAAACAGGGATTCAGGACATACAAGCAAGCAGTGGAGAAAAGGAGAGGGAATTGCAGGTGAGAGGATCACCAGGCTGTGTTAAACACTTCTGTCTGAACTCAAGGTATCATCCTGATTTTCAGATCAGAGCCTGTGGGGTGGGTTTCTGCCTCTTCTAGTGTTAATGAAAACAATTCCATCACACGTAGCTGCCAAATACTACCTTGTATTGGTGTCTTGTGTAACAAATGGAAAAAATATGACAGCTTGGATTCAGAAGGGGAAGCATCTAATTGGCATTTGATATAACTCTTGCATTCCCTGAATTATATAGACACTGGGGGAAGACTATTTGAAAACGACTGCCTTTATCCTTGTTCCTGGAAACAAGGATACAATGGCAGAAGAGGAGACTGAGGGGTGACCTCATCAATGTTTACAAGTACGTAAAGGGTGAGTGTCAGGATGATGGAGCTAGGTTTTTTTCAGTGATGTCCAGTGATAGGACAAGGGGCAATGGGTGTAAACTGGAGCATAGGAGGTTCCATGTGAACATCAGGAAAAACTTCTTTACTGTGAGAGTGACAGAGCACTGGAACGGGTTGCCCAGGGGGGTTGTGGAGTCTCCTACGTTGGAGATATTCAAGGCCTGCCTGGACAAGTTCCTGTGTGATGTACTCTAGGTTACCCTGCTCTTGCAGGGGGGTTGGACTAGATGATCTTTTGAGGTCCCTTCCAACCCTTGGGGTTCTGTGATTCTGTGTGATTCTGTGATGCATTAAAACCGCAAAGTTGCATCTAACCTTCCAGTTTGGCCTTCTCTGAGCCAGAGCCCAAAGGGTGCTCAGGCATTGGAACAGGCTGCCCAGGGCAGGGCTGCAGTCACCGTCCCTGCAAGTGTTCACACACCGTGGAGACGAGGCCCCAGTGCCATGGGTTAGTGGTGGCCTTGGCAGTGCTGGGAATGGTTGGACTGGGTGAGCTTAAAGGGCTTTTCCAACCTGGCTGATTCTGTGGTTCTATGATTCTATGGTCATGGAAGGCACTGGACGAGCTCAGCAGCACTTTCATATGCATTAGCAGGCCCTTGCAGACATTGACTAAGGCCTTAGCTCAGACTAGGTACAGTAGTAAGGCCCAGGCTCAGTTTTAATCACTCAGCATCAGGAAGAAAGCTCTTATTCAGCACTTTGTCCAAAGCTCTCCCTGGATCAGACATTGCGGTGGAAGGTGAGGAGGAGTTTGGGCCTCTCTGCATGGTGGTAATTACAGTGTGCTGACATGGTTGACCACACTGCAGCAAGAGCATCTGAAAACCCTCCCTTTGTACTGCTCTTCCAGCGAGGCCCTTGATAGCGTAAATGCCCAGGTGAGAGCTCGCTCATCAATTTGATATGCTACATGTCTGATCCATCCGCCCTATACAGACTCTCTGATCCTTGACCCTGCTTTCCTTTCATCACTGCCTGCACTTACAAGATAGCAGCTATCTCTTTTCAACATTGGTCTGTTACACTTCTCGTCAAAGCTTTGCTTGCTAACGTCTTCCAGTGCTGAAAAGAGACTGGGTGAAACACTGACAACTTGCAAATGCTCTCTGTATTCTGCAAGAGCAAGACAGGCCTTTTCTTTCCCCAGGCTGCAGCAGTGCACTTCTGGAAACATCACGTTGGAGCAGGAGGCTCTCATGGTATGAGAAGTCTGAGCTTCCACAAAAAAAACCCCTTCTTGTCATTACATGCTTGAGCAAAACAAAGCAAAACTCTGCATGAATATTCTGGCAAGTACCAGAAGGGCAAGATTGATGCTGCCTTCACCCTCCCTGGCTTCTCATCACCCGTGTAATTAATACTCACCACCCCATGATAGATGGGAAATTCAGTGCCAATTGTGAATACTAAACAGGGAGGGTGGGTAGGTGACCCCTCCTCTCCCGAATTGACCTACTTAAAGGTATTCTCTGATGACCTGGGTAAATAGGAGCTTCTTGAGTTAGAGACAGGATAATGAGGTGTGTAGCCACAAGCTTTATCGATCTGCACTGCCTGGGTAACCACAAAGCCCTGGTAAAGGCTTCACATCCCCTCTCCCAGCATGCAGTGGAAGCAAGATAAAACTCAAAAGGGATTGTCTGCAGACAGCACCTTCTTTGTATGTTTAAAGCCTGATTAGGAATCTGCAAGGGTATTTCAAATGAAAGGAAAGAGAGATGTTCAAACCCTCCCATGAGCTGTGCATTAGGAATGGAGTCAGAAGTGCAGGACAGGCAGTACAAAGTACTTGTCTTTAGTGCAGGAGGGGAGATTTCAGGAAGAAGAAGGTTTTCCAGGTGGAATAGGCACAGGAAGTGTGCTGTGGTCCAGATAGCACAGAGCTGCTGGGCAGGTTTTGATCCAAGCCATGGAACAGAGGGCTTCATGATGGCAGCACTGGCAGGCAGCTTTCACTTTACGATTGGTTTTGGTTTTTTTCCCAGCTGTTTTTTTCCTGCAAACATTTCAGACCAATGCTGAGATCTATTCAGATTTTCAAGTATAGAAACCTGGAGTTGAGTTGATGTTTGACTCTTTCAAAGTGCTCCCTAGGAAGGAACAACAAAAACCAGTATTTGGAAGCTATAGCAAGAGAGATGGGCAAGAAAACACATGAGGATTGTAAATGATCAACCACTAAAACAAGCAGTGGTTTGAAACAAGCAGTTTCAAATGAAAATGTGGCAATTAATCGTAGAATCATAGAATAGTTAGGGTTGAAAAGGACCTTCAGATCATCCAGTTCCAACCCCCCTGCCACCCAAGGCTTTGTCCAACCTGGCCTTGAGCACCGCAAGGGATGGAGCATTCACAACCTCCCTGGGCAGCCCATTCCAGTGCCTCACCACCCTTACAGTAAAGAACTTCTTCCTTATATCCAATCTAAACTTCCCCTGTTTAAGTTTTAACCCATTACCCTTTGTCCTGCCACTACAGTCCCTAATGAAGAGTCCTTCCCCAGCATCCCTATAGCCCACCTTCAGATACTGGAAAGCTAAGAGGTCTAATCTGGGAGATGCTACTCAAGCAACTGTCAGATGTCCATCATTTGCCCCAAAATAGAGCTATGCAAGAGATCAGGCTTCTCTCAAAGCCTACCTTGCCATCACTACTTGATTTCAGTCTATCTGGGAACTTACAAGGTCTGCAAGCAAGAATTTCTGAGCAATGCTGAAGACATAAGAACATATGAACATATGTTCATATGAATTCAGTTCTCCAAGCCCAGCTCCTCCATATGGGTTGTTCATGTGCGGCTTGGACCTTTTCAACAGGTTGTGTCCCAGTGCCATTACAACTGAAAATGACAAAGCATGAAGACTAAATCAAGCTGTTATTGCTCCTCCAAGACATATTTTTACCCTTGGAAGTGGATTTTTGTGTAGCCACAGCAAACTCTATGGGATGTCTAACAGATGTGAACTTCTCAGGGTTCCAGCATCCTCAGTGTCCCTCTGAACAAGTGACAAAGTGCTCCATCTGTGCTAAGTGGATTGAAATGTCAGCCCCACGGTTGGGGTAAGCTGAGCAGGATTTGTGTTTAAGCTTTCCATGAATATATTTGATTAGCAGTTACCCTGGTCTGGTTTTAAATTCACCTTTTTTCTTACTGCTGCAGGATGCAATATTCATGTACTGCTAAATCAAATACTCCATTAACAGCCCCAGAGATAAATATTGAATTAATGGAATAATGCAGGTTAATAGTAGATCCACAGGATAATGCTGGAGAATACAGTGTATGAATTACGCTAGCAGCTGAATCACTGCCCCTCACTGTGCTCTGACTGCAGGTACAATAAAAATAGCCCCAAAATGCTAAGCTGTCTGAGATTTACATATTTACTGGGAATAGGCAATAGGTCAGGGATGTGGACAGATGCTTGGATGAAACTAGGACTGCCCATAAGCACTTAGTGTTTCAGCCTCTCCCTTCCTGCTGAGAGGTAATAGAATGCACTGGTTGTCCCGATGTGCTGTTTAGTAACTGGGCAGCCCTGGATGCAGTGCAAGGACTGTCCCCTCCTGCCTGTGACAAAACCCAAGGGCAGTCAGAGCCCGCCAGCAGCTGAGTGGAAGGGCAAGGAGAGCCTGCTAGGATGTGCTTTTAAATTGTCCTCATGGCTCTGTTCTTAATTTTCCTTTTGGACAAGCCTGTCTAGGCAGTTACTGTATTTTTATGCCTGGCTTCATGAATATTTCAAGTAGGAAACTCATCCTGAATTTGTTTCTTTTTTGTCTTTTCTTCCAGGAAATGGATGTGTGCAAACTCGCCCTAATTTATGTAAATACGGAGGCGGAAGAGTTTCACTTCATTGTTACAAATTAAAAGTTCCCTGACATTTCCAATTAGCTGGAGAGAAAAGCAACACAACTATAAATACATCACAAAGCTGCAAAGTCTGCTCTGGCATGAACAGCACGCTCCCATCGCGACACCCAACGGTGAGGCTTTTGCAGCAGAGATTAATGGCATGGTGACCCATTGCCCTGGGGAGGTAACAGAGAAATTGTGGCAGGGAATAGCTGAGAACTTGGACACAAGGGCAAGGAAAATGGCATTAGGGCTAAACCTGACTCAGTGTTGCTCCTCTTGGCTGATATGAGGCTTAAGTGGGGAGAGGAGTAGGTTTAGGATATCAGCATGGTGATGTTTGACAGGCTTGCAAGACAAAGTTGCTGAAATGCCCTTTCCTGTGACCTGCAAAGCTGCTGCTGTCAGGGTCAAGTTTACTGTGAACATCTCTGCCTGAAACACATATGGGTGAGACAGGCAATTGCACTGGAGCAAAGAGATGGAGGCGGGTGGGTGGAATCCTGAAATGAGGGCAGGAATAGGACCACTGCCTTCCCACAGGAGCCCAACACCCCTTGTTTACTCCTTCCTTGAAATCCATCTTGATCTGGACTAGGGAGGCCCCAGGAAGGGGTAGGAAGATGGAAAAGTCTCTTTTGCTCTGTGGTTTCTCCATACAGGAACCTGTCCTTAGCATAGATGAAAGGCACCATATGTGGGGGTGAACCCAGCGGATAGTGTAGTCTGTGCTAACCAAGCTCTGGAAGAATATATGGCACCCTCCCCACCCCAGAGTAAAAAGGGTGCAGGAATCGTATCAGTGATGTAACTGCAGTTTTCCCTCTCCCCTCCTGCTTCAGTGTCTTCTACATGGCACCTACCTGTGTCACCCGACTCAGAGGCATAGCTATGGCTGGTGTGGAGGGGGGATCAGGATTAAGTGGGGCAACAAGCAGGTGAGTAGTATCAATCTGACCCTGCATGTTGGGTTTGATTGCTTTACACCCTTTGAGGTGGTAACGTGAAACATCTCATGCCTGGTTGCCCAGGTTGGAGGTCTCCCTGGCTTCCCTGGGCATTAGGATGCCTGGGAATGGGCATTGAGATGCTCGGCATCCCCATCAATGCCCCTTCAAATGCAAAAAGCCATCGTTGAGGATTAATTCTCCTAGGTCATGCTGCCTTGTTCCCCAGCAAAGGGCATCCTGCTTTTTGGTGCTGGATGCCTAAAATTCCAGCAACATCATTTCCCTTTTTACAAATCCATCAGGCTGCAGACACAGTTGGGTACAATGTGTTCAGACATCCAGTGCAAGGAAAACTAATAATAATACTGATGCTTTTTATTGGCTTCACACACCATAGCTTGTACTTCTTCTCCCCAGGGCCAGATAAAAGTTTTGTGGTGTTATTTAAGCAAAAGCCCATTTTGGCATCAGAGCTGGCAGAAATACTGAGAGCTTCATTTCTCCCCCTTCCCCTTCTCTTCCTCCTCTTGTAATCTTTGATAAAGAAAAAAGTGTGCTCCAAAAAAGGTATGTTAATTAACAATTAATTCCTTTATCTTATAGCACTGAGAATTTAAGACCTGAAAAAGATGTAAAGTAAAATGAGTGGTAATTAGCTTTTTAGAGCATTAAATAAACAGTGACATGAACGACAGAGAATTAATGTTATGCATTTATTTTTAACAATATTTATATAGGCAGTTTTTGAACAGGGCCCTGTGGCAATAGTTTCCACTAATACAGGCAAAACAACACTGAGAAATAATTACATTTAGCCTGCATTAAGACAGCAATATGCAAATCAAAGGAATAATGAAGAGAAGCCTGTTAATAGGGTTTTTGGAGGCTCTATACTTGCATATAATACTGGGCTTTGTTTTCCTCTGAAGAATGCAGAAATTGCCACCCTCCATCATCCCAAGCCGCAGGCCTATGGCTCTGTGTGAATAGCACTGATACAGATGGGAGCTCCCAGCCAAGGTGAAGGTTCCTGAAAGTGGTGCTTTGGGCTGTGCTGTTTGCTTCTGGGGGGACCCACCTGCAGGAAGCAGTGAGCAGAGGAGGATGCGTTGGTCGGCTCCCACTGCTCCCTCCACAAGCCAGCCCCAGCCTTGCAAAGCAAGGCACAACTCAACAGTTCCCTGCCCAGTCCCTGTTGAAACACCTGAGGTGCCCTGATTTCCAGAGGGATTAACCCTGTAAATGAAGAGTACAGAAAAGCTTGAGAATGAATTTCAGCACTAACAACCCCTTTTTTTCTGACTGAATGTATTTATTCTTTGCTATTGCTGTTTTAATCTTTTGGGGCACCTCTGGGAGCTGTTCTTCCCCATGTTAACATGCTTGGCGTGTGCGAACTGCCATCCAAACCGCTTCAGTAGCGACCCCTCTGCATGCACAGGCTTCACTTGCCAGGGTCGTTGGCACAGAGGAAACCTCCCTTATCTGGACATTCATAACCCTCAGAAAGGGACAAAGAAAACAAAACTTTGGCTCCTAATCAGCTGGAACACCCACGGATCATCCATCTTCTGTTATCGCTCCAGCAAATGTAGAAGGAAATGGGGAGATCTGTAAAAGCTTGTTTGTGTTACTCAGTTTTACTGCTAATAGGGTCTGCTAATTAAGAAAGGAGCCACAGCACATGAATCCTTGGAATAGTTTTTAATTAACACGCTTTCTAAAGTCACAGTCAGAGGGGAAAGAGGGGTGAGAGGGGTGAGGCATCCTCCTCCGCTCTGCCTGCCCAGCACCAGGAGCCCAGTGCTGCCCCTTCCACAAGCTGTTTTCCAACCTGCCTTCAGAAATGCCTGTCTTAATTAAAGGAGAAAAGGCATCACTGGCAGTCTTCAATCAAGCGTTTAATGAAGAGCTGACAGGGCACTTAATGCCATCAGTCTGTTGTCAGTCAATGAAGTGACAGCAGGACATGTATTAATATCATAACCTCCATTTCAGGATCCACTGCGGGATGCTGAAACCTCCTGTCAAGGTTTTACAGGGCTTGGCATCAGGTATAAATCACAGGGTTTGAGTTATGCAGGTCTGTGGGTGACCCACAGCAGAGCAGGGACACCCCTGAGGGATTGTGCCTGGGGGCAATCCATAGTGGGACAGGAACACCCCTGAGGGGCTGTAGCCATGGATGACCAATGTTTGAGTGGAGGAATACCAGTAGAAAGCAGCATCAACCTCACTGCCTACAGACTCAGATGGGGCTGGGGGAGAAGGGGGAAAGTGGTTTTAGCTGAGCCATGGGAAATGGGAGGTAATTTGTTTCCTTAAGTGGTTTTTAATTGTGTTCTCTACTCTGTTTTTTGCTCAGCACCCAAATTAGGCATCAGAAGTTGGTGTTAATTGACAAAAAATCAAATTAAGCAAAAATCCCCCAAGCTGAGGCTGGTTTGCCTGCAGCAAACCTCTGTTCGCTGCCACAGAGCATGTGCTGGGCTCTTGCTGTTCTCCACCCAGCTCTGCCCTTAGTCCCTTAGGCTGTCAGCTCATGTACGTGTGATGAGAACTGGTTCTTACCACTCTCGTTAACCTGTTTGCTCCTTCAGTTCAAATGGGAACATTTCTGGGCTCCTGGATTTGCCTGTGTAGATTGGGTTACAAGGCAATAAGGTTGTAGTGTCTGATGGTAGTTTCTGTATATGATCACACCTCCTAAAGCTGATCACTCTGTGGTGTGACCATTGGTCACAGATGGGAAAACAGCAAAGTAAGGACTCAGGGTGAGTGCATTTATATGTTAGCACTGCATTGAGACATTTCTTCACTCTCCTTTTCTTGCAGGGTAAGTTTTATTCCCTGATGGACAGTCTGTAATGATACACCCCTTGCAGAGTGATTGCAAGGTGCATGATGACAGTTCAAACCCTTGCCTTGCTCTGCTAGTCTCCTGACATCACTAATGGGACTGCCAAGAAGGCATGAGTGTTCTTTCCTCTCCACAGCCCATTCAGAGCCAGCCTTCCCATGGAGCAAGTCCCACAGCCCTAGTTAGGCTCTAGTGATTGTGGTGACTATGGTGTTGCTGCTTGTCCTTTATCTTCAAACCCACCTGTCTCACTCCCATCTCGATCATTTGGTGGGAATTACAATCCTGTGACCTGTTAGGCTTGTGGTATATAAAAAGGCCCATTCCTTCCAGCGAGATAGAGCTCATAAAACACTCAATTCATGTTCATTTAGAGGCTCATTCAGGGAAATAGAGCCATAGGTGAGCTATATCACAAACAGAAATCAGATGGCAAAACCAGGCAGGCAGAGAAGCCTTTGCAGTGCCCTCTTCTAGGAAGAAATGCTGAATCACTGGGTGCCTCTTAGGTCCTTGAACTGAATCAACTCTATTTTTTAACAGCCACAGCCTGAGGAGGAGAAATTAGAATGATGTGTCCATTCCTCATCTTGGAACAGCCATATTTAGCAGTATTGGTTATAAGTTGCTGCGGAGACGAGACTGAAAACCACTGTGCTCCCACCCACAGGTAAGGCAGGCTGAAATGCTCACCCAGAGAGGAAAAGGTTTCCTCAACCCACTTTCCCTGATCCCTTTCTGCAAAACTTTTGACTCTCTCTTATGCATTTCTCTGATTGATTCTGTCTTTCTTCCTTCATATTAAAGTTTGCTTCCTATCTCCCACCTGCAGCTGTGTGGCTGCACTTCTGCCAAGATCTCACATAAACCAGGGAAGGACAGATCAGCTAAGAAGCAGTTGCTATTCATTATGGGAAATTACAGCTTTCATGTGTTCATCGAGTAAACTCCTGTCAGCTCCAAACCAGGGACCTGTTGCATCTAAATGCCTTGCTTAAGTGGGTGGATAGGCTGAAATGCACTCCAAATCATTCCTCCTTTTAGCAGGAATTGCTGCTTCTGTCCTCAGTGTCTGGGGGTGGTAGGGTAAGGTGGACAGGACATGCTGTCCTCTGCTCTGTTTGCTTCCATTGTGACTGGTGGTGCCTGGTTGTTAGATCTCATATGGCACTGCCAGGAAGTGGCTTTCTCTAAACACCCCCCAGCATCTTCACCAGTGAGCAGCAAACACCTTGAGGTCCGTCCTCATCCAGGGGAGCAACATTTTCAGTGTTGTGATGGAGCAACAGAACACAAGAGTTCAAACTGGATCACTCCAAAGCTCATGTAACCTACATCATCCATGGAGCAAAATCCCAAGAGCTCCAAAGCACACAGCTCAAATCTGGGGAAGGCTGAATGCTGAAGCCATAGCTTCTCCCCAGCTCTAGAGCATCACCACCACTGTAGAGATGGCTGCAGGCCATGGATCCAAGCACAGCATGGGATAATTCATTAGCCAAGGTTCCCAGTTTGGACAGACACACTTCATGCCTGGCTTCTCACATAAGGCAGGGCCACATCATCACAGCTTTTGGCCAGTGTCTCCTGTTCACTCACTGGAGCAGAGCTAAACAAAACATTGTCAAAAAACAAGGGCCCAGGTGATGCTGGCAAACATCAATTGTCTCTAACATAATGTAAAGCAGCCCAGCATCCCCAGGATGCTTGCTTCTATGTTTTGGCGCTCGCACAGTGACTGAGGGAGAGTAGACAGTATACTAGGAGGTGTAGCTGTTGCTATGGCTCCCTAATTGCCTTCTGGAGGTTACCATAGAGAAAAGCCCAGAGCTGTCTTTAGAAACAATAGTGCTCCAACTTTGTTTACACAGACTTTCCAGTTTCTAAATCAAACTTTACAAGAGCCAGAAATTGAGCCTTCAGCCCACTGCAGAGCAGGGAGGATTTTATCACTGCAGAAACGAAACAAATAGCTCAACATTTGTTTCTCTATTTCATACTGCACTGAAGCAACAGGACTTGGGGGGAGGTTGTTTGGCTGCTGGCTAGTGAATTGGTTTATGGGTTTTATTTTTTCCCATTGAGAAACCAGAGAAGTTGAGAGTTGCATCTAGGAAGAGACAGTAACAGTTTGGGTGATGGGCAGAGACAGTCTCGGCTGCAAGGCTCAGTTATAGAAATGGGAAAGCTCCAATAGAAGTGCATGAGCAAGGTCACACATCCAGAGCAGGTGACATGCTGGCAGCAAGTGCAATTTCCTGGACCACAGAAGATACAAGTGCCATATATATACTGTGTAGAGTCATGACACTGCAGGGTGGCTTTTTTAGTGGAAATAACTTACATTTACTGCATTAAAAATCCTTTTGTACTGCAGAAGGGGCATAAAGAGTTGTAGCACTTCGAAGAGAGAGCCAGGTCCCGTCTCTTAGCAATGGGTGGTTTCATTGTGCAGGTTGTTAGGTTGGAAGGGAATTGAAGTTGCCACTTGGGACCAGATGGCTGTGGAATTCTCCAAAAGGCATGTTGGGATCACTAAGCACCTCATCACCATAGAGGCTGCATCCCCACATCACTGTACCTGTGGGCTGATGCATGTAGGTTTTGAGACTCGCCTTGTCCAAAACCTGGCTGTCTTAAAGGGTT